CCAACTTGCGTAGATCATGCTCCAGTTTGTTTTTTGCAACACCTTTTGTGAGAACATCAGCGAGCTGTAGATCAGAAGCAATGTATGGAAGACAAACTTCTCCAGAAGTYACYCTTTCTCTGATAAAATGTCTATCCACTTCAATGTGCTTAGTTCGGTCATGCTAGACTGGGTTATGGGCAATGTTAATTGCATCCTAGTTATCACAGTACAACATTATAGGTTCTTCTACCTGTACACCAATTTCTTCTAATAGGGAACGAATCTAGAGAAGTTCTGAAACTCCATGTGTCATGGCCCTGTATTCAGCTTCAACACTTGATCTTGCCACCACTGTTTATTTCTTACTCTTCCACGAGACAAGGTTACCCCCAACAAGGGTGCACACTCCTGAAGTTGATCTCCTGTCATCAAGGCATCCTRCCCAATCTRCATCTGTMTAAGCCTCTAGTTTCAACTGTCCATGATCAGTAAACAATATGCCTCTGCCCGGGTGTCCCTTTAGATAAGCAAGAATCCTGTCAATTGCCTCCCAATGTTGGACTCGTGGAGCATGCATGTATTGACATACCACACTTACTGCATAGGAAATGTATGGTCTTGCCATACACAAGTATAGCAGCCGACCCACAAGTCTCTGATATCTCCCAATGTCCTTTACTGGCTCACCTTCTAATGCATTGATTCTATGGTTCTAATCAATAGGGGTACTGGTTTCCTTCGTTCCAAGCTTCCCTGTCTCTTAAAGAAGATCCAAGACATACTTCTTTGAGAGATAAAAATTCCATGTTTTAATTTTGCAACTTCAATGCCTAAGAAGTATCTCAGTTCTCAAAGATCCTTAATTTCAAATTCTTTATTTAGATTCCTTTTCAGACAACCAATCTCACTTAGATCATTCCCCATGACAACAATATCATCCACATAAACAATTAGGACTGACACCAAAGATCCCCTTCGCTTCACAAACAATGTATGATTGGATTGAGTCTGAGTGTGGCCAAAAGCAATCAAGGCCTTTTTGAATCTGTCAAACCATGCTCTAGGCGATTGTTTCAAACCATAAAGTGACTTCTTAAGCCTGCATACCTTTCCCTTTTCAATATCACTGTAGAAGCCAGCTGGAAGATTCATATACACTTCCTCTTGTAGATCCCCATTTAGGAAAGCATTCTTCACATCAAATTGAAACAAGGGCCAAGATGAGGCAACAAGAGAAAGAAGTATCCGAATAGAGGTCATCTTTGCAACTGGTGCAAAGGCCTCTAAGTAATCGATGCCATAAGTCTGTGTGTACCCTTTTGCAACAAGTCTTGCCTTATACCTTTCTATACTTCCATTTGCCTTATATTTTACTGTGTAAACCCATCTGCATCCAACTGTCTCCTTGCCCTCTAGTAGATCCACAATGTCCCATGTCTGATTCTTAATCAAAGTTGCCACCTCTTCTTGCATAGCTGTCTTCCACTCAGCTTTGGAGAGAGCCTCACTAACACCCTTGGGTATAAACACAGAGTCAGGAGAGGAAAGAAAAGCACAGTAGGAAGGAGAAAGTCCACTGTAGGATAAGTACTGTGAAATACAATGAGYWRYACACKTTYTCTTCCCTTTTYTRAGAGCAATAGGAAGATCGAGGTTATCTGTAACAAGGTTAGTAGAATCAATGGGAATTGAAACAGTAGCGGGACCAAGAGGAATACCTGAATCCATGTTAGCTGAATCTAGAGTCTCCAAGGAATCGACAGGAAGTAATATGAGTTCTGCTGTAGTGGAATCAACCTCCTTGTGAAGTCTTTGTCGTAAGTAATGCTGAGAAGCAGGACGCAAAGGAGGTGGTAAGGTAGGTGACACAGGAGGTGATAAGGTAGGTGACATAAGAGGGTCAAGCACAGGAGTAGACACAGGGACTAGAACTGGGAGAGGAATAGACTGTTGACTCACTTCCCCAAAACACTCCCCCTGAGAAGGGTTCTTTGAGAAGAAGTATGTGGATTCAAAAAAGGTGACATCCATGGTAACATACTGGCTCCCAGAGACTGGATCATAACAGTAGTACCCTTTCTGATTTTCTACATATCCAAGGAAGACACACTTCTTTGCCTTGGGGTCATGCTTCGAGTGGTGAGGACCAAGGATATGTGCAAAGCAGACACACCCAAACACCCTGAGAGGAGTATGAAACATCTCCCCCTCAGGAAAAAGGAGACTGAATGGGGTGTTGAATCCAAGTATACGAGAGGGCACCCTGTTAATTAGATATACTGTTGTGAGAACCGCATCACCCCAAAACCGAACTAGAATTGTAGATGTGATCATCATGCTTCTTGCAATCTCAACAATGTGTCTGTTCTTCCTTTCTGCAACACCATTCTATTGTGGACTGTAGGGACCACTGCTCTGATGGACAACACCATATTCTAACAGATACGAGGCAAGGTGTTTTTCAAAATATTCCCTGGCATTGTCTGATCTGAACACCTTTATTCTTGTTCCAAACTGTGTTAGCGCCATCTGATGAAATTGCCTCACCAAGGATGGTACTTCATCGCGGGATCTCATCAGGTAAATCCAAGAGTATCGTGAGTAGGGGTGGCAACGAGCCGAGCTTTTAACGAGCTGCTCGAGCTCGGCTCATGAACCGAGCTCGAGCCCAATTCAGTGGCTCAATTATTAAACGAGCCGAGCTCGAGCCTATTAGAGTTCGGCTCGTGAGGCTCACAAGCCGGCTCGAATAGTATATATAATAAATATTAATTATTATAATTCTTAATTTTTTAAATATAAAATAAATTTTTATATATAATTTTTATTTTTATAAAATAATTTTTTTAATATTTTTATAATAAAATATTTATAAAATATAAAACGAGTCGAGACGAGCTCAAGCTCAAGGTTCTAGCTCGAGCTCGAACCTTATAGAATAGTCTCGAGCCGAACTTAAGTCTGGTACTATTTGGCTCGACTCGGCTCGGCTCGACTCGTATCCACCCCTAATCGTGAGAAATCATCCACAAATAAGAGAAAATATCATTAGCCTCCCATAGAAGGAACATGGTAAGGTCCCCACACATCAGAATGATAACATCAAAAGAAAAATAATACCTTTTTTTACTAGGTTTAAATGAATGTCTACAATGCTTTCCAAGTTGACAACCTTCACACTCCAGACTTGACAAACTAACAGACTCAAAAAGTTTTGGAAACAAAAGATTCAAAGATGAAAAAGGTAAATGGCCCAAGCGATTATGCTAAAGCATAATTTGACCCACAGACCCTGACTCACTATCCCTACTAACATGATGACTCTAATGAGGAGGAAGCACATCCAGGAGGTAGATCCCATTCACTTCACGACCATTCCCAATCGTCCTCTTTGAATCCAGATCCTGCAAAATACAATGACCAAGAGAAAAAATTACTGAGCAGTTCAAGTTCTTAATCAAACTACTAACAGATAACAAGTTAGTGCTCAATCTAGGAACATGAAGGACAAAGGGTAGAGAAATAGAATCACTAAACTTGACAGATCCCTTCCCAGCAATGGGAACATGGGATCCATCAGTTGTGGAAACCCTATCTCTGTCAGAACATAGCTGGTAAGAAGAAATAATAGTAGAGATATGGGTCATGTGCTTTGAGGCTCCAGAATCTATAATCCAAGGAGGTCCCTCCTTACTTGAAGTAGAAACATAATTTGCAGTGACGTGTGAACTACCTGTGTGAGCAAAGGAAGTAGAGTGGACTCCACCAGTACCACTTGTACTTTGCTGTCCGCTTGCTGCTGAACTGGAACTAGCTGTATCCTGCTAGTTCAGAAGTTGCCCATACCTCTCAAGTTCGACCCTTATTGCAGCAGCTGCAACAGACTCCAGAGCAGTTGTAGTAGGAGGGGTCGGAATGTCACCAGTAACTGCCATGTGAGCATTTCCCTTCTTATTTTTCAGTCTAGTCGGCACAAGATGTGGGTGAAGCTTCTAGCAAGTATCTCTTGTGTGTTTAGGCTTCTTACAGTAGTCACAAATCAAATCTCTTTTATCTTCCTTATTGATTTCATTGCTACCCCGATCTTCACTTTGTTTAGGTTTCACAGTACTCACCATGGCAGACTGATCAGAAACATGATTTTTCATCATTACATCTCTCTTGCTCTCTTCCCCTGACACAAAGGCATATGCCTGGGAGAGGGTAACACTGTCCCTGGAAAGAAGATGCTGTCTTGGCAATATCATACTCAGGATTAAGGCTAGCAAGAAATTCAAACACCCTATACTTCTCTAGATGTTTCTGATAGGTAGTTGCATCCTTAGTGGTTTCCCAAGCAAATGTCTCTAAATGGTCAATCTCCTGCCATAGGGTTTTAAGGGCTGAAAAATAGGCTGCAACAGGTCTATCTCTCTGCCTTGTAGAAATAATCTGATTTCTCAACTGATAAGCCCTAGCAACATTCTCCCTCTGTGGATAGGTTTCTACAATCCCATCCCATACTTCCTTAGTTGTATTTGCCCATAAAAAATTTTTACTTATACGGGGCAACATGGAATTACACAACCAAGTCATCACCATAAAATTCTCCTGTACCCATCGGGAGTTGCTAGTTTCGGGTTTCACTTCTTCACCAGTGATATACCCTAATTTCCCACGAGCACCAATGGCCATCTTTGCAGATTGTGACCTTTCTAAGTAATTTGCACCATCCAACCTAATTGTAGTAATGGTTCCAATCCTGAAAAGGTCTCCAGCACCTCCTCCCACAGGTCCATTTCACTCCTGGGCTTATTTTCAACTCCGTGACCCTCCATGCTTCTCAAAAAGTGTAAAGAAAATAACTGAAATATGCAAGAAGATCAAACGAAACACTTCTCGAACCAACAACACCTTTCTGGTGTCCTAGACTGTCTTCCCACAAAAGATTCATTTTCTGCGGGACAGGAGAAGAGAGAGAAGAGGCAGCCACTCTCTTTGGCAGGACTTGAACCGCCCCTTACAGAAAACTCCTAGGAACTCTAAAAAATTAGGGCGCCACTTCCTAGGTCAAAATTGAAGAGTCCAACAGAAATAGAACTCTTCCCCTTTCTCTAGTTTTTCCTGATTTTGATGAGAAACCCTAGACCAGCTACAGGGCAAACAGATCCACCAAAAAATCCAAAAACTGGGCTTACTTGAGATCTTCGATCAGCCTCTTAAATCACCATGCAGTCGGCCGATCTAGGGCTGCATGAGAAAACAACTCAAGGAACCTTCGGCCTGCTTTGATATCAAGTAGAAATCACCGATTGCAGATTTAGTTGAATTTCTTGTGAAGGGAAAGAGGAGGAAGATGAAGATTTCAGCGGTAGAGAAGAAAAGAGGAGGAGAAAAGAATAGGAAGTCAACCAGGATTCTTAGATAAACCCTAGCTGCCAACCCCTCATTATAATTTATACTTAACTTAAAGGATGAGATATTACAAGGATTCCCTTAGTAGGGCGGCTACTAATGTAGCTGAACAGTCACAACTTAAAAACATAAACTAATGGGCCTAAAGCCCAACAACTTCCTAGCTAAATAACTTAAAATAAGAATAAAAACAACTAGGCCCAACACAACAGGGTGTTCTTGGAACCCTCCCGAGAGTGTCCAAAGTTTGTTCTCCCCTTCGTTTTTTAGATGGCATAAGAAGCGAGGGAAGATGATGTGGAAGAGTATTAGGGCAGCCGTGTGTTGGTTACTGTGGGAGGAAACAAATTCTCGAATTTTTTCAGAAAAGGAAGATCCCTGGAGGACCTATTAGACCTAATACTTTTAAGGGCTGCCCATTGGCTAAAAACTACAGAACTGTTTTCAGACTTTCCTATAGCTGACCTGTTAAGAAAGTGGAAAGAGATAGCAACCTCTACTTTGTGTAAGAGGACTCTTAGTCCCTCGTGGTCCCCTCCTCCCTCAGGATTTATAAAATCGAACTTTGATGGCAGTAGCCTAAAGAATCCAAGGCCCTCTGGGATTGGGGGAGTTTTCAGGTATGAGGAAGGGATTGTTATTGCTTTGTTCTCAGGCCCTATTGGAGAAGGAGACTCTCTTAGGGCTGAGATCCTTGCAGCTATGGAAGGAGTTCAAAGAGCAAGGAAACTAAATATCAATCGGCTGATATTCAAAGGTGGTGATTAGCTTGTTGAAGAAAGAGGACAGTGGTTTGTGGAGACACAATAATGAAAAGAAAAAATTTTTATGGCTGTGTAGGGGCATTGAGATACAATAGAGCTGGGTGAAGAGGACAGCTAATTCTTTTGCAGATGGGTTGGCCAAGCAAGGGGTGAATAGGGAGTCTATCTTTTGGTCTAATTTTTAATTTCCTTTCTTTGTAATTTGCTGATGGGGAGCTAAGACTTTTTATCTCCCCCTTATTGTATCTAAAGCTTCATAAATTTTCTCTTAATTAATAAAGTTTCTGTTATTGATAATATATATATATATATATTTATTTATTTATTTATTATGAGTTTATGACCCAAGCCTTGTTTATCTTTTTCTATAGGACATCGCGACAAAAATAATGTCATTTTCACAACAGGGTCCAAGGGCTGTTTGCATCCTCTCAGCCAATGGTGCTGTTTCCACTGTTACTCTTCGGCAGCCTTCTTCTTCTGGTGGAACTGTCACATACGAGGTTCAAGCACTCAATAATTTGTTTTTGTCCCTTCTCAAGAAAATTATTTGCTGTTAATGCATTATTTGCTGTTAATGCATGATATTTCATGTCAGAACTGTCATGTATGGAAATTTTGGTTTCCTTGTCTTTATCTTTGTTTGGTTTTGTTTTTGATCTGAATGCAGAGTAATAGCATAGTTAAATGATGCATTTTTCACTATGCACTTGCAAATAGATGCTTGTCCTATGTGAAATGCTATATATCAGTCCATAATACATAGAATTTCATATTTCAAAGCTTACATTTCTTGGAATAAAGTACGTTTGTTAAAAACCATTGGTTTGGGATCTGAAATAAAACATAACAAGTTTTCATTAGTTGGGCTGTATAAAAGTAGCTTGTACCTCTTTTTGGTCTGGAACTTTGAGTGAAATTAGCAATGGACTACCTAGCACTTAATGTAAACTTTTTTTTTATCAACAATAGAAAAAAATATTTAAAGAATATACTACAGGAAATACAACAAAATGTGTGGTCCCCATGGTAGGTAGATAGCCATGGGTAGACATCTTAATGTTAAATGACCATCTGTATCATATGTAATTAGTAAAAGTTTCCAGTTTGTGATCAAAGAAAAAAGAACAATTGTTAATTTTATTTTGGTTATCTGACTACATTCTGAAAGTTTTTCAAATTTCCAAAGGTTTGATATGGAAGTAATTCAAAATATTCTGAGTTATGGTAATATTCTGAAATTTCAGCTGAGAAGAATCTTCTGTATTATCCAAGAATCATTGAAGAGAAAAGATAGAGGAAAGGAAGAGAAGAAGAGAAGAGGAAGAGAGGAGAAGAGAGAAGCTTTTTTTATTCATCAAGAGAGAGAGGTTTTGAGGGTCTAAAAATCTGGCTGGCAGCACCAGCACCCAGAACTTTATTTATGGGGCAGCAGTACAGTTCATAATAAAAAGCAAGGTTTTTAAAACTGAACTGGACAACGAACCGGTCAAGGGTCTGGTTCCTGGGTCGAACGGTCCGACCATTCGAACCGAACGGACGGACCATTCCGACAAAAAAAAGGTCAAAACCGTTGAACGGTTCAACTGCCTGGGTCAGCGGTTTGCTGACCAAATCAATTTTTTTTGGCAAAATTCTGGTTTGGGGAAAAATGGAACCAGTTCCCGGTTTATCTGGTCCGGTCCGGTTTTGAAAACCATGATAAAAATAATGAAAAGACTAAGTGCTCCTGTGGCACTTATTAACAGATTTACTACATTCTGTTTAAAGTTCTGGCTTATCTTACCATGACTGAAATATTCTAAAATTTCAGTGAAATTTAAAATCACTTCTCCGTTGTTAACATCAAAATATGCCCCACAGAGTTCTACTTTCAAGATCATATATATATATATATACATTTCACTTATGTCAGAAAATATTCTTCAGAAATCGATGGCTAAGTTAAATGTCTTTTATGAGTTTTGTGTGTGTTGTCTTCGTTGTTTCCTTTCTTTGGAGGCATCAACTTCCCTGTAATGGCCTACTGGGCCCACATTCATTGGATTTAGTTAGTTTTTTATTTGTTAGACATCAGGAAGTTCCAAACTTCTTGCTCCATTTCGGAAAAATTATCTGAGATTGTCTTCTTATTATACACTGAATGAAAAGTGTTCAGTCAAATAGTAATAGTTGCTATTTGTGGGTATGCATTTTTGGTGTTTTCTGTTTGATTACCAACCCCAAGCTGCCTGTTTTCCATTCCCATTCCCATTTTTCAGATACCAATTGTTGTGGGCTAGTCATGGCAGCTATAATTCGAGATGGTTTCTTTGGTTGCTGATCCTCATCCCGCAAAAATTAACTTTTGCTTCTAACCAACGTTTTGAAATGCAAAGGTGTGACACGAGCCATTCCACCATCCTGAGGTGTAAGGTGTAAACCAGAATGGAAGGGGTGTTAGCCTCGTGAGCATAGGTATTTTAATTAATAAATAATTAAATAAGGTTAAATAAAGCTACAGCAAATATCTCAAAAAAAAAAGAAAATAATGAGAAACTAGAAGATTTCATATTTGCAATTTCTAATAGTAAAACCATTATTTTTAAATATTGATTTGAAGTATGATTGCATGAAGTATCTTTATCCTTAGTTATGTTTAAGTATCATCAACCATCACTATATCATTTTCAACGTTAACATAAACAAATATGTCATCTGATATTCAAATGAATGCAATGCATTAAAAGAACTAAAAACCATGTTTGGCCCACTTCTTTTTATACGAGGCAAACTCCTGTACAAAGTGCCAGATGCACACGTCATCTGCCTCTACTGTGCATCTCCAGTGCTTTTTAAAACATTGCCTCTTATTTATATACTGCTTAATCATGCAAGGGACATCTTGTTTGATACTGATTATTTTCATTGTCTTCAGTGGAAATGCCAATTTGTTTTTCATTCCCTTTGTCTAGTTATAGTCTACGACTTTACGGTGCTGATTTGGTAATGCCTTGTTGCTTATAAGTGGGACATATTTGTTGTGAACGACAAGGAATGTCCTTGTTATGATGACAAATAGTAGCTCATAATAGATTGTGCTTGTCTTTTTGAGCAAAGTACCTAAACCTTCTTACTAAGGATTTAAGGGTAATATCCTCTTATAAAGTAGGAGTATGCCCCAATTCACCACCAATAATTCAGTTTTATCCTTTGAACTTGATGGCTTCATGGTTCAGTGATAATTTTTAGAAAAACTTGAACTTTGAATTTCCTAATATATATTGATTATGTGGGGTTAACTATCATTTCACTATTTCCTTGTGAATATTCATCCTCATTTTTGTTTTTTCTTTGCCATCTTGATATTTAGAGACAAATTGGCTTTGTTTATGTTAAATGTTACAGGGTCGGTTCGAGATATTATGTTTGTCAGGATCTTACATGCTCACTGATAATGGTGGCTCACGCAGCCGGACGGGTGGTCTTAGTATCTCCCTTTCAAGTCCTGATGGTCGTGTTATCGGTGGAGGAGTTGGTGGAATGCTTATTGCAGCAAGCCCGGTTCAGGTAAATTTACTGGCAATTGTATTTCCTGGCTATCTCCATTTGTTATTGTAGTCCTTTCATCACTGTTTTTTTTTATAATAGATTTTATTTGCTTTTGTCATGTTGCAATGGCAAACCTTTTGCGTGCTACTTGAGCTTTGGCATCATTTTTCGTGCATTGTGTTGATAACCATTTTACTTTGGTCACCTCCAACCATTGTTAAGTCAGAAAAGGGAATTTTGACCCAGTCGAGTGTGTCAGTGGCATTTAAACTCCGAAAATTTTAGAATATATAAGCTGATCCAGCATATCTGTGTCTTACTTTAATGCATAATTTACTGTAGGTGATAGTGGGGAGTTTTGTGTATGGTGGTTCAAAGACAAAGAACAAAGCCGGGGCTGGTACAGAAGCTGGGACAGATGCTGATGCTCCAACAGGCGATAAATCAACGACTCCAACAAGCGTCCCTCCCAACCAGAACATCCCTCCTACTTCTCAGATGGGCGGGTGGCCCGGTTCACGGCCTGTGGATATGAGGAACGCTCACATTGATATTGACTTGACGCGGGGATGATGATGATCATTTGCATTTCTATATACTACATTGGCGAATGTGTACATGTGGACGTGGTGGTGTTGCAAGAACCAAGAAACATGAGTTGTTGGTCACGTAAACTCTGCATATTTTTCCGGCTGTTAGACATTGGTTTTGTACTAACTTATTCTTGCAGCAATGTTGGGCTCTTGGAAGCAGATGGTAGATTTCTGAAATCTAGCCAGGCGCTTTGTGACCTAAACCCACAGTGAATGATGTAGAAAGTATTTAATCTTGTACTAGTTCTCACTTCTCAGGAGGTTAAAATGCAGGACACTTGTTTTGGCGTTTTTCTGATGGAACCTATCAACTCTTGACAGACTCTCTGCCACTCTTCCACTTAGCACAAGCTCCAAACTGGTGAAGAGTGAGTTCAGAGGTTTAGTTTGGATTCTAAGTTTCTAATGCATGAATGGAATTAAATGAAAGCTCCCGAAACACCATTTGCTTCATGTTTTTTTCGTTAATGATTTGGCTCTGTTATGGGCCCGAGAGTAGGATCGCGTCACGGGTCGTTCCACGGCAGGAACCCCTGATCTTCCCTTGCCTTTGGCTTTGCGCACAGACCCTATTTTACCTATCTAGTGGGTGATTTGTCCAAGAGACCACCCGAACTCTCCCTTGGGGTGATTTGTCCAAGAGACCACCCAAACTCTCCTCACTCTTTTCTTGGCT